TATTCTAGACATTGAGAGGAATCTTAGCATTACATGTACTCGTTTACCATGATACGAGTTTTATAAGTGGAGAACCGCATGAAATAGCTATGAATATTGTGCCGTCTAAATTTAGATTGGAACAACGTCGGTAGATAACATATTTCTTTATTCATATATCGCCGTATATTAAAACTAAATAAAAGTGTAACGAAGTTATTCTATGGATTATGCGGATTCTATGGACAATTCCTTTAAGCTGGTAAGACTTGTGTAAGCTGAGAACAACGATAACGGCCTCTATCTGCCATTGTTCTAAAAAGTGTTTGTTTACGTCACATTTCAAAGAATGACAATGACACAGACTTGTGTAAAATTACACAAAACACCTTTATACGTTAATTGTTTGTAACATAACCACTCTCAAGGTGACAGTAGAATTTCTTCAACTGCAATCATATATAATGTGAATTGTAACAAAAATAAACATATACAACCTCCCTGTCCTAGTGTGTTTTTATCTTTTCTACATATAAGATTGTTTTTAGAACTCTACAGGGTCCTTGTTTAATGTGTACGTTATCTTAATTACAAATAGGGAGAGCAAGGTACCTGATCGTGACAATACTAACTTACTAACTTATCATGTTACTGGTATCTTTTTGTGTAAAAACAGGCAAACCATGACCCAAAAAAAAAGTCGAAAAAACAACAATATTTCACAAAACACTACAAAGAAAACTATATATTGAGCAACACGAACCCCACAAAAAAAAGGATGAACGGTGCTCCGTAAGGGTAAGCAGTTCCTTTTCTAATAGCATCACTCGTCGTGCTACTCATTGCAAGTACATTTTTGGTGATATATTCAGCCTTCGGGAATGTCTAATTTGAGAAGAGGACGTGAACAATTCATTACTTCTTACTTTCTAAAAGCAAAGTATTTACTAGAGAAGCAGATACAAATGTTCAAGTTTTCGATTTGAAACGGCATTTGATCATACCCCACGAAATTCTGAACTCGAGGCGAGCACGTGTTGCAAGACCAGCGAGGTAGCCCCAAACTTGAAATTGCAATATAATTTGTAGAGCCAACGCAGCCGAACATATCTCCCTGTTTGAACCTGCTGTCGGATATCTACATTTTAAAACCCTTTCAGTTCATAAAAATGACAACCTTTTATTTCATGTGATGGTGATGTATGAAATTTGTGTATTTTCAATACAGTTTGTTACTCTATTCATATACACTTAATACTTTTGGCATGACTAGTATTCAACACTTGGCACGCAATGTCTTTAAATTATATATAAAAAACTTTCATTTTTCTATAAATTAAAAGAGTACACACTCTGAAATGTCTCCCCTGTTTTGCTGATCATGATAGAATTTATCTTGAAAAATAAAAGTTTTACTAAGTCTCACATAAACTACAAATTACCAATGAATAATGTTAACGAGGTTAAGGACGGGTGAACTCTGCAAACTTCCAAGTGCTCCAGGAAAGATCTTTTTAAACTACTAAACTATTATCAGTAATCTAACCAGCTATCTAAACCAGGCTTTAAAGATTTTGTAAAACTACCAACTATATGGGTGTTGTGAATCAGATGTGGATACTAAACAACTCCAAAGATCTGTTAAAGTACGTATAATTTAAGTCTCTTTCCTCTTGCAATAGTATAAAAACATTCGCCTTTTCTACCCTTTACACAAGTATTCCCAATTTCAAACTTAAATTTTCAAACTGTTGGACCAAACAGCTACAAACAGCGCATTCTCTAGATAAAATTGACAATATCATGGGTCAAGGGAACATATCTAAAACTTCCTATATTGATATCATGACTATTGTTGATAAAAGACAAAGTAATTATACGTACGTCTCATGGCAATCGCATTAACCGCAATCAACGAAATAAACATCGCTCTAATTTTACACTTGATGATCTTTTATTTATATCTAAAAACAATGGTAGACATCAAATATTAAGCAAACAGGGTCAAATGCCAGTTAGTTAATTACGTAATATTTATAACGAGTGTAATTCATTATCGCTTTTCAACCCAAAATATGAGTGTACACGTATCATAACAGCTTTTTATCTTGATAGACAGTTCTCTCGTATTGACAAACCTGAAGATCATTAAAAGCATTTTCTAAAAAAAAAATACATTAACGGAGGAATTGATTTTTATTAATTTTCAAGAATTTTAATGACTCACCGTTCCAAACTGTAAACCTCCATATTTTAATAAATAGAGCCACCTATCATTTCGAAAACGTATTAAAAAAACGCGTAGAAGTTTTTAATTATACGTCAGTTTCGTCAGACGCAAGTATAGAAAACAGTGCTCCTTCAACGTGAGACTGAAACATCGAAGAAAAGATATGATCCTTAAAGCCATGTAACTACAGGAGATCTCAACATTGTGCGACAACGTGCGAGGCCACTTGGTTATAAACATTTTGAAAAAAGTACCAATATATCGTCCACCGTGAACATAAATTAAAAAGAGTGTCGTAAGGTCATTAAAGATGCCCTTTCATCCAAATGTAAAAATTGGTGTAAACGGAAGAAATCTGTCAAAAAGTTACTTGATTCCCATCTGAATAAATGTCTTAATATTGTGGATATTTGCCTATCAAAATTCGAAAATAATTTAGAAATAAATAAAAGGGTAAGTAATACGCCCATTTCTATTATTAAAACAAAATTCAAGTACTCGCAAAGCGTTGTGTGTTGTACCGGCCGACAAATTAGGCAGCCAACAATGTTGTAGTAAATATTACACGGATGTTCTTAAGAATTAAATTATTAATTCATCTACATTCAAGACCGTGTGCTCCACAGAGAGTCAAATATTAAATAATCATGTCACTACCACAGCTCATCTTGAGGCATCCTCTAATAAATAAAAGTCCCACCAATGTATTGGCTTCCTAAACTACAAAACAAAACCCGTTCAATTTTCGTTTCATCTCGGCTTCCAGAAAGTGTTCCACGACTTATCGTCCTGTGTTGTTGATTGTTCCCTTACTTTAAATTACTTGTTATTATTTTTTTGTAATAAAGCATTGGATAATAATGGAATTAACTATTTTAGGAGTGTCAAAAACTCGTTGGATGAATCGGATTTATTACGTGCTTTTGATGGTCAGTTCAATTCGGTTAACAGTTATGATTTTTCGACTCTGTACAATACACTGCCTTTCAAGCTTATCAAATAGAAGTTGTCTTATTTAATTAAATGGTCCTTTGAAAAATCTGGTTGTTCTCATATAAAGCCTTCGTCTGAAATGAAAATTGAAATATCCTAGATATACTTACTGGAACTGTGATGAGATGATTAAAGCTGTAAATTTTCCCCTTGACAACATCTATGTACGTTTCGGCAATAACAGTTATCATGGTTATCGACGGACTGTAGGTATTCCGATGGACATTAATGGCATCCCTTTAATAGCAGACTTGTTCCTGTATTGTTATGAATCATAGTTTATGGCCAAACACAGAAAAGATCCGTCTAAACTACATTTAATTGATCAATTTAAAAATACTTACCGTTACCTTGATAATATTTGCTTCAGATAATCGAGAATTTTTTAATTTTACTGCGAAATTTTACCCAAAGGAAAAAGTAAAATCACAAAAATACTGAACTCCGAGGAAAATTCAATCGGAAAGTCCCTAATCACATGGCAAAATCAAATGACAAAACACATCAAACGAATGGACAACAACTGTCATATTCCTGACTTGGTACAGGCATTTTCAAATGTAGAAAATGGTGGATTGAACCTGGTTTTATAGCGCTAAACCTCTCACCTGTACGACAGTCTTATCAAATTTCGTTATATTTACAACGATGCGTGAACAAAACAGACATTATAAATAAAATAGTCAAAATATGGGTACAGCAGTCATCACTGTGTTACAATATCAAAACAAACAATTATTTACAAAAAAAGCACAAAAGCATTTATCAAATTAAGACCCACATTCATTGCTTCGCGTGTCTGACGTCAGAAAATGTAAACGTCACATAAGAAAAAAGTTTGTCATTCAATGTCTATTCAAAACAATTTTATAATTTCACATGGGGAATGTTGGTATACAGGGTAAAAAAATCAAAAGTTATGTTAGAATTAATTTCAGAAATAGACCGAGATTTATAATTGTCCAGAAGTTCTTCAGAACCCTTAAGAATCCACATATGGTAAATACCACTACGCGAGTAAAATAAATTTGTCGTTTGTCGTTCAAAGTATTTTCAAATTTATAATAGAACAATAACATAATGACATATAATAGAACAATAACATAATGACGGGATCTTTTAAAGTACAGAGTCACGTTATAAGAACCACAGAAACACAAAAAGTCGCATATACAAAACACACCAGTAAAAATTAAAGATAATACAAACACATTGACGGGATGTATAAGTACCTAGCCACGTCAAATGGATATCACAGAAAACAAACCAAACAGTAAAAGTAATATTAATAATAGAACAAAGACAAATGAAAGAACAATATTACACGTTGTTAAGATGATAAACAACGTCAGGAACTTATTTTGAATAAATCTAATACAGACTTACAATAATTGTCCTTTTCGAAATTTTAATATTTCAGTTTCACACGGGAAACTCCATACCAAAATTTACGACACCAGAGACGATTTTAAATTCCGGATTGTTAATTTTCCTTTTTGGACGCTGATGTTCCTATGTCCCCTTCTAACGATGTGAATATTTCCTTGTCTATAGTCGCGGTTTGTATTTCAATGAACGTAGTTTATGTATAACTGGTAAATTATTAAGTCAGGGATTTCGTTACCAGAAATCAATTAAATGTAATAATATAATAATAATAATAATAATAATAATAATAATAATAAATACTTTATTTAAAGAGGGTAAAATCAGTAAGTACAATACTAATCTCCCCTGATGCCCTCTGAATAACTCAAAATATAATAATATAATATATACATATACATACATACAGCTTTTTATGCAAAACAAATGGTATAAAAATTTACAGATTCATTTCATGAACATATTTTCTTCATGATGTACAAGCCAAATATATGGATTTTTAGAATATAGATACATTTCTGTGATAATCATTATTTGGTTGGTTTAACATGTTGTATATGAATCTGATAATTAGCTTTTTTGTTCTAGAAACAAGAAATTATGATACCTTTGTTTGAACTGTTCTGTCTTATCTATCTTTTTTTATTTCTACATGAATACTGTTCCAAAGAAAAGAACCGGAATATTTAAATGTCTTTTTCTTAAGATTTGTTCTCGGACGTGGTATAAAAAGACAATTATTGTCCGATGAACGCAAAGAATATCAATAACAGGCTATTGATACAGTATTTAAACTACTTAGACCACTGGGCTACCAAGGCCCCCTCCATAATTAGGAAGACTTACTGTTGGTATCATTAAGCAATATAGATATCATATAGACATTTGCAAAATACAAAAAAATCACATATTTCAGATTTTATAAACAAAAGCTGTTTCAAATAATTTATCTTGATTTTCATCAATGTTACTATCGTTATCATCATGTACTTCATTGGACATATTTTAGATTTTATAAATAGTAGCCGAATGACAGAATCTACTGCGCTCTCTTATTTCCGCTGACACTATCATTATTCTCGTTTCCCTATTAATGTCTATTGCCCAAGGAGAGTTGATTCCATCAGCTTCTGATAGTATTATTTTACTGTTTTACCATCTGGTGATAATGCCACGACACTATTGTTCCCGTCACAAGCTATATAAAGAAAGCCATTCTTGTCTAATGTAAGTCCTCGTGGTATGTCAATTTCTCGGTGTTGAAATGTCCAGATAGGCTCCCCAGTACTTTTGTAGCAGCAGACTTTGTTTTTATTTTGAATGATACCATAGATGTTTCCTTGGAATACTGAAATACGACTCGCTACCACTCCTTCTAAGATTGTATGAGATTCATCATTCAGATTCACTATGGTACTTTTATCATAACAGCTGATGACTAATATTTGACCATCACTTGCTACTGAATTACAGTAATGAGTTAGATTAAATATTCTAGTAATTTCATTACTTTTTACATCCACCAAATTTGTCTGGTTTTCGTTGGATCCTAATGTGACAGCCACTGTGTTATTTCTCACAAAGCATGCATCATAAAAAAATTGGTATGAATGTCATTTTTTTCTTTATAGACATGTCATCATTACTGAACAGCAGCAGGTGACTGTGATGAATACTGTGATAAAGAATTAAATATTTACCACCAGGCAATGTTCGACATGCGAAAATATGCATACATATTGTACTTTCTGGAATAGTCGAGGTTCTCAACCTGTGCGGTTTAATTTTTTCAATTCTAGTAACAGTTGGAACTAGGTATTGTGCTTGATCTTTTCTTCCGGCCTCAATTCGAAGAGTGGATGGGCTAATATTGATATTAATATCTCCAAATGATTTAACATCTTTGCAAATTGATTGTAGAGAAGATGAAATAGTTACCTCTAGGTTCTTTTCGTTAAAGTTGTCTCCATTTTGTAAATCTTCTAAGTATTGTACTGCTTGTGTTGTGGTTTTCTCAATTTCCCTAAGACCAAAACACATCTGTAAATCAGTTGCAAGTCGGGTCATTTCGGAAAATCCACTCTGTAATTGGCTTATTTGATTTGCGCGCAATTCTAGTTGTTGCAGGAGGTTGTTCATCTTTGATTTCAGCTTTGAATGCTTGGTGTCTAAGTCGGCAAGAATTTCTTGTTCTATTTTATTTAGAAAATCATCTATTGACTTCTTTATAGATCGAATTTTTTCAGTAGCCTTTAGTTTTTGACTATTGTTAGTATTCATACTACTGTTTAAATATTTTATAATCTCTTCAAAGTTTTCCTTCACATCCTTCAAATCCTTTTCAACAAGTTGAACTGAGGCAGAAAATTTAATTTGCTTTATAATGTCTGACAGTGGTTTTATGTCTTGACATTTCTTGTGTTTATCGTTGACACACTGGACACAGCAAGGACAGGCATGGAATGAACAGAAAATTTCAAACTTTTTCTTGTGTTCTCTGCACTTACTACTTAATTCTTGCATAAATTCCGGTAATTTTTTGTAGTCTTCTGTAGACATGGTTTTATGGTCTTTAGACATTCTCGATTTTTTGTGGTGTTTTTCACAGTCTGTACAAAGGAACACTTCACATTCTGTGCACCATGTGACAGCGTATTTAGAAGCTCCATCATCATAAAAAAAGGGTGCAAAACAACACCCTATCTGATGAATCCATTGTTCTCTCTTTATTTCTGAAATGTAATACACAAAACATCTTTAGCATTGTATTACAAAATTATTGCAAATCAAAGAAAAGAGAAACAACTCGATCAAGAAAGCAAACACTCTAATTAGGAAAAGTGGTCTTCTTGGCAATGATACCACATCTTATCATTATTTTATAATATACAGTTACTCATTATATGGCCTTACTAGCATTACTTGGAAAATAACTGTATATGATAGATATCTTTAGTTCATTGTCATAAAAGAGGGACGAAAGATACCAGAGGGACAGTCAAACTCATAGATCGAAAACAAACTGACAACGCATAAAAAGTTTAGATTTATTAATCCGATCAAAACCTTGAATAAAAATCAAAAGAAGTAGTAAAACATCAATTGGAGGGGAAGGGGTCCCATGCACATACCAAGTATAATTAAAAGCTATGTTTTATCGTTGTAATATCTTCTGATGTAAATCGATAACATTGTTGTGCAACCATTAATCTTAATTTTTATATAAATTGTAGTGCTGGTAAACATATTCTCTTAATAAAGAATCTAGATCTGTGTAACCACGATTTTGTCTAAACTCTCATTCTTTCATTTTCAGTTTAAAAAAATTGTTTACTTTTTATCAAAAGTATAAATTATAACAACTTTCAGAATAGTCTGTTTTGAGAAGCTTCCAAAAAATAAGCCATGAAATGTTTGTAATCAGTAATCATACTCAGCAGTTTTTTTTAATGTTTGGTTTATCATTTGCATGTAATCAGTAATCAGAAATTTTATGATAGAAAGTAGTTGAAGTTTTAATATAACCAATTGCAAATTATATATACAAAATGGTAATAATGATCATTTTTAGATTAGATGTTGTCTTAGACCTCCTTGTGACTACCTCGTCACGTTTCACTTAAAAGAAAATAATATGAAGAGTAAACATAGATGAGAACAACAAATAAATCCCAACAACCTTGAATATGGTTCTGTGGAGTGCGTATGGTCTTTTTTTATGGCTTCAGTTTGGGGAGATATTAAAACTGGATATTACTTCAAATTAACCACTGTTTTCTTCGTTTTCGGTAAATATCAATGAGATAAGAAAGAAGGGTTTCCACATTTTCTACTTGTATCACCAATAAACTCATTATAGATATCAGGATTAAAATTTTGTACGCCAGACACCCGTTTCGTCGACACAAGACTCATCAGTGACGCTCGAATACAAAAATTTCAAAACGGTCAAAGTGAATTATCTAAATAATCTTCTCTAAAGTATGAATATTCACAAAGAAATAGTGTTCCCCTTATAATCAAAGCTGTAATGTTCCTGAATCAAGTACATTGATGTAAGTTTTACAAATTGAATTATTTTTTTTAAAAATTCACATGTGAATACATTTACTGTAAAGCCTTTATAATCAAGATTATTATTATCAAATGTAATCCGATCGAGATCTAATTAAAAGGGAGGGGTTTATTGCTTACAAATCTAGATAACTCCTCTCCGGCATGTTTATGCTCCCCTTCCAAGCGGGAAACCTCGTCAGTGTTTGTCATTTGTAGTTTTGGTGTTTCTTTATCTCTAGGATATTTGGTATTGAAGGCGACCTATAGTGGTCTGTGTAGGATGTTCATAACTTGTCTAAACTCAATTTAGAGCTAGACATATTCGTTTTGACATCCGGTTTTTTAAATATCAGAATCCACTTGTTGACTTGTAAAATTATGTTTGTTTATGATTTTTTGTTATCGCTGTCATTTATATATATCATTTATGTCCCAAAGCGTTCTTACCCTTGATATTGTCATGACCGGAACTCAGGAAAAGGAATTTTTACACAGAGGTAGAATGTCAAATAACTGGCACACTACCTGGGATAGTTCTTATGTATTCGTGTCGTCAGGTAAACAATTTAAAAATTGAAAGGCATTTGTCTATTGATTATATTTGATACTCATTAAAACATAAGGTTTAATTTACATAATAGGTAAATTAGATATTAATTATACTCTGGTTGAACCGTTTCAGATTTTCACACTTTCTGTCCATTTTGCATGTAATTTATATTCTAAAGTTGATGAATTTAACAGCATTTTATGTTTCATTATATATCATGAGTATATGAATCAGACGTTTATTAATACGATTTTGTCTTTACAAATTGACACAAGGTCAACAAATTTCATGGGTATATAATTCAAATGTAGCACTTCCGCTGAGACTTACAACATCTTATTAAAAGAACAAATACAAATACATAAAAAAGCATGCAGAATAATAAACATATACTACGACGCAAGCATACATTAGTTTTCTCAATAGAATTGTTTCATACTTTTCATGTCGGGGACTTTTATTGCCGACTATACGGTATAGGTTTTTTCTCATTGTTGAAGGCCGTACGGTTGTCTATATTTGCTTACATCCACCTTATTTGAACTTTGGTAGATAGTTGTGTCATTGGCAATCAAACCTCATCTCCTTATTTTGATACATATCCAATAGCAAAGCACTCAAAAGCTGCATTGTAAAAAGGAAAACTTTGTAACAAAACAGAAGCATATTAAAGAATAAATAAATAACATAGCAGTTACAAGCATGCATTGAGGGACAAGACATATGCATAAAACTCATATTCATCCAGGTAAATAAGAAAATACATAAACCAAATATAATAATACGTAAAGATGTATAACATATATAATTTGATGTGCACTATTCTAAAATGCAAAGAAACATATACCTTTTATGACTAACGTTTTTTTTTCAAATCCTGTGCATAGTTAATTCATTTTAGATTTATGTGGTCACGTGCATTTATCATATTCAAGTATTAAGTAACTGCGTTTATCTTATATTTCAAAGTGATGATATAATGTGTATATTATAAATTCCATTATTAAGATATCCTGTGTTTACTTTGAATTCAAGAGTTATCATGTTCTTTGTATATTTTATATTCAAGATTTGTGATATCCTATGGGTTTTTTATAGTCCAGAGTTATGGTATCCTGTGAATATATGGTATACCAGAGTTATGATGTCATATGAAAATCTAATATACAAGAGTTATGATCTCATGTTCATGTTTTATATTTCAGAGTTTTGATGCCATGTGTATATCTTATATTCTAGAGTTATGATGGCATGTGTATATTTTATATTCTAAAGTTATAATGCCATGTGTATTTCTTATATTCTAGAGTAATGATGGCATGTGTATATCTTATATTCTAAAGTTATAATGCCATGTGTATTTCTTATATTCTAGAGTTATGATGGCATGTGTATATTTTATATTCTAGAGTAACAATGTCATGGACACATTTTGAATTTCAGAGTACCGATTATCAGGTTGTCTTCATAATGATATCGTAAAATATCAGCTGCGAGTCACAATATGAAGCTTTTTGTCGAGCAGCTGATATTTTACAATATGATTATGCATACAATCAGATAATCGATTTATCGGGTTGTATTTGCGTATTTTGCATGATAGAAACAATTGTTTTCTTTGTTTCACCAGCAAACCGGAAGATGACGTGATAAGTTCTAGTCAAACTTATAAACGTCGGTTCATATGTTATGACGTCGGTGATATGTCCGGGTCAAAGTTATTAAGTCCGGGTCAACGTATTTGACGTCACAAAGCCGTGATATGCAATTTTATTAAGAGCTGAGCAGAGTGATACAGACAGAGGGACGACCAATAAGTTATGCTATCAGTTGTATATTTTGATATTCGGTGTAAATGTTATATATCAGAAAAAGAGAGGCAAAAGGTACCAAAGGGATATTCAAACTAATAAATTGAAAACAAACTGACAATGCCACTGGTAAAAAACGAAAAACGACGAAAAAATAAAAGACAACATAGAAACTTAAGACTGAGCAACACAAACCCCACCAATAACCGGGGTGAGCTCAGATGCTCCGGAAGAGTAACCAGATCTTGCTCCACATGTGGTACCCGTCGTGTTGCTCATATAAGTAAAAACCCACTAATAAGTCTTATAAAAGAGGGACGACAAATACCAGAGGGACAGTAAAACTCATAGATCGAAAACAAACTGACAACGCCATGGCCAAAAATAAAAAGACAAACAGACAAATAAAGTACAGATGACACAACATAAAAAACTAAATACTAAGCAACACGAACCCCACCAAGAACTGGGGTGATCTCAGGTGCTCCGGAAGGGTAAGCAGATCCTGCTCCACATGTGGCACCCGTCGTGTTGCTTATGTTATTACAAATCCGGTAAATAGTCTAATTTGGTAGGTCACATTCGTGAAAAGGGAAGGGTATTGTAGTTACGACATAAGGAACATATCCGATATCATCTGTGAAACGGTTATTCCATAACGGTCAACCAACTCGTGATGGCGTCCGTAAAATGTACGAAGGATGATTTCAACTTCACCATTTGGAACTCTTGGTTTAATAGCTTTCTTGTGAGCAGCAATCCTCTATCAAGGAAATCATGATAAGAAATACATCCCGGGAATATCGTATCAATTGGGAGATATATACTCCGAATGCAGGCGCTGCTGGAATGTTGCTACATAGAAATGGAAAGTTCACAATTGGGAAGCTGAAATCATCTCTTTTGTCGTAAAGTTTTGTTTTCAACCGACCCTCATTGTCAATTTCTAGATGTAAGTCAAGATATGAGGCAGACTTAACTGTAGCTGTAGTATCCTTTATCTCTAGTTCGATGGGATATATTCGTTCAACATAGTCACCAAATTTTGTATTATTTAGTGACAGAACATCATCTATATAGCGGAACGTAAAGTTAAAGGATATTTCTAACTTTTTATCTTTCTTCCTAAGAAGTTCCTGTAAGAAGTCAGCCTCATAATAATGAAGAAACAAGTCGGCAAGAAGAGGGGCACAATTGGTCCCCATTATCCTTCGTTATCTGTGAAACAGATGTTCCATAACGGTCAACCAACACGTGACGGCGTCCGTAAAATTTACGAAAGGATGATTTCTACTTCACCACTTGGAACTCTTTGTTCACTAGCTTCCTTGTAAGCAGCAACCCTCTAACAAGGAAATCATGAGAGGAAATACAAGCTCTGGAACATTGTATCAACTGGAAGATATATACTTCATATTCAAGTATGCTGTAAAGTTCACAATTGGAAAGCTGTTATTTCAAAAATCGTATTTTCACCCAAAAATTCAAAAATCGATATTGGAACTTAAAACTTTGAACTTCAACATGGTCTGCTTAAAATTTTGAATGCCTTTGCAGATATTTAAATACTTAATTCTCATCTTTGAAATTAAGTGACTACTTTTGTCATCATTTTCCGCAAAATAAATTCGACCCCTGTATTCAATAATACGGTTTTTTTTCATTTTCCAATTTGGTCAGATTCTTTTAATCATATGCATTTACTTTGCAAATGAATGTTTTTCATTGGATAATTTCACAGTTTTTCCTATTTATTATAATTTATGATAAATTGGAGTTCAAACTTGTGTATCGTTACTTTTGTTGACTAGTATATTTTGTATTTCAAATCTGCGATAGCATGTGTATATTGTATAATACAGAATAATACATGGTCAAATCCGTATCACGTGCTGTATCAATCCGAGTAACCAATATCAGCCACAGGACCGAAGGTGATACAGCATGTGGTACGGATTTTATCATTTATTAATCACTTTATCATATATTTAAAAAGAGTTGTTTTTTTCTAAATTGAAGTCTCCTTTAGAAAATTATATTAGTTGAAGACTGATATAGCATTGAATTTCGATGACATCACACAGTAGGCAGACCCAGGACCGATTATACAAGTTGCACTCTGGGACAAGTAGTTCAACTGCACCATCCAGGCTCCTAAAAGAATGTGCCAGTGTGTATGGTTCACCATCAAAATGACAATGTAAACAAGTAATACTTGATGTATTGAACAGTATAAGTTCTCAGTGCTCTATTTCAACTTTCATGCGTGCTTCTTTTCAGTAATTAAGGTTCATCTAGTGCTGTTGTTGTCTATTCAGTGTTTTTATTTGAATTGAATTGATGGTTGAAATAAATAGAATACATGTGTTACATGCATTTTGTTATTTACTTAAAGATCACATGATTATCACCGTAGATGAAATTTATCAGTTTACATTGACATACAAATTGTTGCATGCATGGCGAAACATATCTGATAACAGTATCTGCCATTAACACTTACTTCTCCAAATAACAAAAAAAAAACAAATTGATTACGAATTCCTAATGTACTCCATAAAAAAATCATATTACAAAAAAGGCCTCGGCGGCCGAATGGTCTAAGTAGTCGAGAAAAAAGTGATCGAACTACTGTATCACAACCTGTCAAAACTGAGGTTGTGAGTTTTAATCTGGGACGTGGGAGGTGTGTTCGACTCTAATCTTAATAGTTTACCTACCGATGGGCGGTGGTTCTTTCCGGGCTCTCCCGGCTTCCTCCACCATTAAAAACTAACCTTCACGAAATAGCACAATAGTGCTGAAATTGGCGTTAAACACCAATCACTCAATCATATTACAAAACATTTTCTTTGACTGACCACCCCCATCTCCAAAAAAAAAAAAAACCACACACACAAAATTTCTAAATCGAAAACATTTATTAAATCTAAGAAAACCTACATCATGGAAGGACACTGTGGCCACAGAATCATAAGGTCTGAAAGCTCAACAGTAAAAAATAAAAAGAGCTTTATGAAGTGCCAATTTTTCCTAGCGACGATCTGTCTCGGTGCCGAAGTGTCTAGAATTCGTCCCTGTTAAGCTACAGTCCACCACAGCGGATATGGGAGAAAAAACACAGGGTA